TGTGAAATTAGACATGAACCCCTATCCCCAGGGTGAATGAGGTACTGTACTTTATGCCTTTAGCTCTCTGTACTAAACCTCTGGGCACTTGTAGATTTGATTTGTTTCTATCTATTAGTTTTCCCAACTCGGACTATGGATTCTCTTAGGGCAGCAATTTAATCTTTCATTATATCCCTATACTTTAAACGTCTGAATGAATGAATGCGTAAGTGAATGGTTTTGTTTTTGTTTTACAAATAATATTAAGTAGCTATCATTACTCCCTGTTTTACAGATGAGGGATCTCAGAGTCAGAGAGGCTGAATAACTTTGCAGGTCACATAAGTAGGAGCCTGGGGATGCTATAAAAATTGAAATCCAAGTCTTTTCCCTGTATCACACTCCCCAAAGGAGTAACAGCTAGTCAGTTTTAGAACCTGAGTAATTCAGGCTCTTAGACTTCAGAGTATCATGCTTATCTTAAAGCCTTGCTGTATTTTTCAAAATCTGTTCCATTTTCTGTCCCTAGATATCAGAAAGTCCTGTGATAAACTGCGTATGTGCTTTTTCTCTTCCTCCTCCTCCACCAGAAAAAAGAACATTTTAAATCTCAGATAAAATGTTGCATTTTACTTCTTCAGCATATGTTCTCAGTTTCATTCTTCATTTTTCCTGTGTAGTCATGATTTTAGTTAGAAAATAAAATACACAATTCTGTTTTCTTCGTCTTTTAGTTACTTGTCTGATCCTATTATTTCAAAACGCCAAAGTAAAAATACTATCATGGCCATCTGAAAATTAGTATTTCAAATATAGCTCTTGGTGCAGGCCTGGCCCCCTGAGATTAGGGACCCTTTGTGTTTTATTCAGTGCCCAGCTGGATTTCTTTTAACTAATTATGACTAGTAGGATCTCTCTGGTCTTCTCAGTTGTCATAATGATTTTGAAATGTGGTAATTTTAGTTGTTAGATTTGCTCTTTAGGTCAGCCAGTCTTCCTTTTAAGAAGGTTTATTTATAATCTAGGCTTCATTTAATTTCTTTCAGTTTATTCAGATTTATAGTTTTAATTTTTTGTAGTCTTTGTATTAATTGCCTTCATTTTTCAGCTGCCTTAATGGGGCAGTAATAGAAATAACAGTGGGCAGAGAGACCCAGATTGCTATCCATTCATTGTGACCACTTGACATCACTTCTCTGAATCTGTTTTTCCTACTCAGATATGGTATTAAGTTAATTATATATAAGGATCCTTCCAGTTCAAAAGTTTTATAATTTAACTCCTTGGAGTTTTTTTTACAAAATAATACAGAAGTTTGTATTATACTCTTGAACTGTGTTTTTAGAGAATGGTTTTCTTCTTCCAATCTGAAAGCACTTGTTCTGTTACTTGTTGGTCATTATATTCCAGAAAGAGAAATTTGGTTAAATAATTGAAATTAGAATGCTTTGAGTTTTAATCAAAAAATAGCTTTTAATAAGGCATTAATTTCATAGAATATTTTAATACATACTTTTGATATTATATTTTATTATATATTTCATTATATTCACATGTAATTCTAATATAGAATTTTTTAAAAAACTTAGAAATGTAATTACTGAGTGTAGGTAAGAGTTCTTATGTTTAAAAAGATCACCTTTAAGAAATTCCAGCTTTAATCAAAGAACATGGGTTGAAGTAAACGTTTATACCACTTCTAAGTCCTGAAGTTTGATTTAGAAGAAACTGTTATTTGCAAGAACTGTGCTGATAAAGTCTGGAAGCCTGCTAATGCTATTTAAAGGAGAAGAGCATGTTCAAACTCAAAAGTATTGTTACTGCCATTGTGTTGATAGAATTTCTCTATGTTCCTCTAATGCTGTTTTATAATCAAATTTTTATTGATTTTAAAGTAATGAATTTTTGAATGGGACTGCCTAGAAGTTGAGTAATTTTTCTGTTGTATAGGGTGAAAAGCAAACTTGTGAACTTTATTTAATAGTTTATAATGCAGATTTTCAAGGGGGAGAATTTGAGAGTAGATGAGCCTTGTTTTAGTTGCTCAATTAATGATTCTGTTTTAAGATAATTACCGAGGAAATGGTAAAAAGTTTATATAATTGTTGGTGCAGATGGTAAAGAATCCACCTGCCAATGCAGGAGACACACACAAGAGGCGTAGGTTCAATCCCTGGGTTGGGAAGATCCCCTGGAGGAGGAAATGGCAACCCATTCCAGTATTCTTGCCTGGAAAATTCCATGGACCTCGCAAGCTACAGTCCACAGGGTAACAAAGAGTCAGACAGAAATGAGCGTACACGTGCACACCCGCATGTGCATGTACACACACACACACACACACACACACACACACACACCTGAAAATCGAACATCGTTTTTTTAAAAATTTGTTTTCATTATTCATTTGGATGTACACACATATCTGTCTTAGTTGCGGCAGGCAGGATCTTTGATCTTTGTTGCTGCATGCGGGATCTTTAGTTGCAGCATTCAAACTCTTAGTTGTGGCATGTGAGAACTAGTTCTCTGACCAATGGTCAAACCTGGAGTCTTAGCCACTGGACCATTAGGGAAGTCCCTAAACATCATTGTTTTTATAAAATGAAGTAGCCAGGGGGCCTAAGATTTCAGTTTAAGACATAATTGTTGGAATATTCAACTTTAAGTAGTAAGGGTTTTTGAAGTAAGATTATATTTATTTATTTTTTGTCCTTTTCTTACTGCTTGATTCTTAATAAAATTTATATAATCATAAAAAAGACATAAATCTGACAGGTTTCTATAAGAGGGTAATTCTAAAAATTCATATCAGAGAACTCCTATTTTCTGGGTATATATTACTGTATATTTCAAGTTCTAGGGTAGTTGGCTTTTTGTAACTCTAGATGATAATGAAATGAGGAAAAGAAAATTGATAGAATAGAAAATACCACTGAAGACATCAACTACCATCATGTGTAAAGCCTTCTTATAACATTTACTTGGTGGAAAATGTTAACAGAAGCCCAGTTTATACAAGACAGTTTTTTGGGGAAAAAGGCACAAACTATTATAGATGTTAATATGCTGTATTTTAAGGTTTTTTTCTTTGTGATGTATATATTTTTGGGAGTATTAATTATATTTGTGTGTAGGCCTATTTAGGAATGCCCTCTTGTGGAGGTGATGAATTACAAACTAGGATTCTAGGATATCAGTGTCTCTGAAAAGTGAAAGTCACTCAGTTGTGTCCGACTCTTTGTGACCCCATGGACTATACAGTCCATGGAATTCTCCAGGCCAGAATACTGCAGTGGGTAGCCTTTCTCTTCTCCAGGGGATCTTCCCAACCCAGGGATCAAACCCAGGTCTTCCGCATTGCAATAGATTCTTTAAGGGAAGCCCATCAGTGTGTCTAGGTAACAAAAAAAAAAAAAAAAAAAGGCTTTTAAATTGAATCATCACCTGCTTTGACTTTAATATTACTTGTATTATTTTAGTTCTATGTAGTTAATTGCTTAGAAACAAACTAAGAGTTGTATGAAGTAACTGAAAGAATTTGCTTGATCCTTTGTCCCAATCCAGATGCAAATGAAAAGTAATCAGATTAAGTTGCCATTCTTCCTGACCATCATGACAGTTGCGCAGGCCCCAGTGATTTGGGTAGATCAAAATTGGTTTGTGGGGGCTTCTCTGATGGTCCAGTGGTTAATACTTCCATGGCAGGAGGCATGGGTTCTATCCCAGGTCTGGAACTAAGATCCCACATGTTATGTCCTGTGGCAAAAAAAAAAAAAAAAAAAGGTTTTCGAGGGGCCTTGTAAAAGATAATTGGCAATAAATAATTTTAAAAAGTCATAGCAGATCACTTATCCCCAGATCCTACGTACATGTTGGATTGTAGTTCTTCAACCTGTGTTTCCTAAGAAAACAATCTGATAGGAGAAACATTTTTCCTCTGTGAATTCTTCTGATTTTGCTTATAGGTAGACTTTGTTTTTTATTTATTCATTGATTCAGTGAACCAATATTTATCAAGAACACACATAATCTCTTCTGCTGGTGATCATTAAGGATGATTTACAAAATTATCTTTTGTACTATATTGTTCTTGATTTGGTGGTAATATATTGATGTGTGTTCTATGTGATGGCAGGTATATATATACACACACATATGTGTTTCTCTCTATAGCACTTATAAAAATTGGTATTGTAACTTTATAACTAGATAGATTTTAGGACCTTTTGTCAAGATGAGAATGTAGGTGTTCTTTTTTATTTAAGGATTTTTAATATTCTAGTTTACCCTGTTTACTGTTTTAATAATTAGGTATTTGTGAAACACATCCGTAACTTTAACACTAGCTTAGATAAAAAATGGAAACCACTTTTGTTGTCTTATTGTCTCATTCCTGTCGGCATTTGTTAACCATCTTCAAAAATTTTGTTTTACAAATGAGTTGTTGCATTGAATTTTGAGTACGTAGCTTAGTTGTTTAGAACATGGTATATAAAATTATCATTAATTTTATACTCTTTTGAAAACCAATTAGCTTTTTTAGGGAAAGAGTGCTGCTTTAATTAAGCAAATATGTACTGTTAATCCTAAAGGGGCTTAAATGGGAGTTTTATGGAAGTAATACCTTTGTTTGCATTCTTATCATTTATATAGAATCTAGATTCTCTGATTCTTGATCAGTCACTGCTGATCAAGTACTAGTAGAGTTTAGCCATCATCTTTGTACTTCTTTGCTGTTTTGAAACACTTATTTGTATAAGATTAACAGCTAAGCAAATGATTTAATCAAAACATGTAAAAGTAAGTTAAACTGCCTTGTCATTTACATGTTAATATTTGTTTAAATGGTGCTTAATTCTTTGTAGCTGTTCCCTAAATCTGGTTGAAGTATTAAATATTGAAAATGTTGTTTTCCTTGTTGTGTACTTTAAAATTGTACTTTGTTCCATGTTGGAGCAGTTTGGTAATGTTTTTAAACCAAATTTGTTTTCCTGTATTTCATTTATGCTTTTTAGGTGGCAGCCAATGCACACATTCCTCCAGACTACCTCCTTAAAATTTGTGAGCGGATTGGTCCCTTACTAGATAAGGAGATCCCTCAGAGTGTTCCTGGGGTACAGACGTTACTCGGTGTTGGTCGGCAGTCTCTGTTAAGGGATGCCAAAGGTAAGATTTTTACAGTTTTTAGAGAAAGGAATATTTTTATGTGAATGAAATGTTCCCAGGCTTTTCTAAATACTAATTTTCTTCTAGTGTTTCTTATCTTGCCAATCTTGTTTTTATTTTCCCAGTATACAAGTAAATTTCTAGATGCCTAAATGGTGCCCTTTTCTGTAAAACAGTGAATACTGTAGAGGTAAATACTGTAGAGGAAAAGATATAAAATCTCTTTGTAACCCTCAAAAGATCACTGCTCTGATTAGTATAGTATAAATGTGTAAAATATTCTTTCATTACATTTTTGATGTTCTTAATCTTTGAGTCTTGATATTCTAATCACAAGGGGTATTTCATAACAGGTAAATTAGAATTATGATTTGTCAAGATGTTTATATTTAAAGATATTTAAACAAAGGTATCAATCCATCATTTTTCAGTAACAGTTACTCTACTCCACTGTTTTCATTCTTTTACAGATTTTCCCCAAAGTTGTTTTTTAATTTATTAATTGATTTATGGCTGTACTGGGTCTTTGTTGCTGTGTGCAGGCTTTCTCTAGTTGCGGTGAACAGGGGCTCCTCTCTAGTTCTGGTGCTTGGGTTTCTTATTACAGTGGCTTCTCTTGTTGCGGAGCACAGGCTCTAGGCTCTAGGACTTCAGTAGCTGTGGCACGCGAGCTCAGTAGTTGTGGTACACAGGCTTAGTTGCCCTATGGCTTGTGGAATCTTCCTGGACGCAGGGAATCTGCGTCCCCTGCATTGGCAGATAGATTCGTAACCACTGGACTACCAGGGAAGTCCTCCCCAAAGTTTTACATGGAACCTCAGTATGTAAATTATATAGATAGAATTTTCTGAACATAAAAATGTGTAATTAGGTGTTAAGGATGCCTTAGTGAATTAAATACTTAAGGTCTATCTAGAAACCAATTTCTTTCTGTTTTGCTTTTTTAGCATAATGTTTTTAAAAATCCTAATTCATGAAGATAGATAAATGGTTGCATAAATGATACCAGTTTTTTATTATCTCTTTTATTATTTAAGGAAATTCTTCGATTCAGTTAGCTTGACATCTTTCAGGAGATTGGTAGAATACTTTTGTTTCAAAGTTGAATTATTAGGAATATTTCATATTTGCTTGAATTTTGACATAAACATTAAAGACAAAAAACACAACTATTTTTACTCAGTTTTCATCTGATACATAGTGTTGTTACCTGTTACAGTACTGGCAGTTACTCCATAACATGAGCATACACAAAGTATAAATTTCTGAATTTTACCTGGCATACTTGTGCTATATTCATTTCCTTGCTTATACAGTTTTATATGAGTAGACATGTGTAAGCCTAAAGATCCAGAACGGGACCAATATAAACTTAAAACCTTATTAATCCATGACATATTTACATAAGATTCAAATATATGTATAATAAGAGCTTTGATTCTAGGTCAGCACAGAAAGTAAAATATCCTGATGATAATATGAAGGCATTGGTGTTTACCTGTCATAATATAGATTATAGCATGTTTAAACATATGTTATTTTTTTATTGTGGTTTTAATAGTTATAAATGCATTTCAACAAATGAAATTTAAAATAGACATTTGCCTCTGAGGTACAGTTTAAAAAATATTCTATGCCTTGACTAACTTTTGAATCTTTTTGTATAGACTGTAAGAGTACACTATGGAATGGCTCTGCTTTTGCAGCTCTACATAGAGGCAGACCTCCAGAACTACCTGTAAATTATGTGAAACCTCCAAATGTGGGTGAGTAATGTCCATGTGAGTTATAAACACATTCTTGATTTGTTCCTTCCTGAACTCATTATAAAGCCAAAAATAGGTATCAGAATTAAAATTGAAATGTAAATGAACTGCTTACATTTTGTGGTGTTTCATGGTTGGTCCAGAATTTTTTTAAAGCATTTTTCTTAAAGCAAATATAATCATAGGTTTGTAAAAGGTGACTTTTTTTAATTCATTTTCTTTCTTCCCCTCCCCTCTCTCCCTCCTCCTCCCTCCCCTGCTTCCCTCCTTTTCCTCTCCTCTTCCATCCTCTTCCCTTCTTTTTTCCCTCCTCTCGCCTCTCCCTCCCTTCCCTCTAAGACCCCTCCTTTTTCTCTCCTCTCTCCTTCCCCTCCCTATCCCCCTTCCTCCCCCATCCTCCCTGCCCCCTTCCACTTCTCTCCTCTCCTTGCCTGTCTTTTTCTTCTTAGCAGAAGCATTTCCTTTTTTATATACTTCAGGTGTTTTTAGCCATATGGAAGTGTATTTACATATTTCTGTGCCAAGCTCAAAGATTTTACAGGGAACTATGTAAAGACAGATTTTAGAAGGAAACAGAAGTATATTTTTCTTATATTTGCTTGCCAAACTTATAATGATGTAATAAGTTTTATCTTTATTAAAAGGAAGAAATATCACCCTTCCCATATGTAGTTTACTGAAATTCTTATGTCCTTTTCATATTATCCTGGGTCATCTCTGGCCAGAACATTGTAAAGAAATGCTAGTATGGTTCCTGAGAAGATCTAGCTAACAAAACCATTTATACTAAATTTAATTCTTGCAAAGACTGTATAGAACCAAGCAGATAGATGAGTAACTGCCACTCTGTTTTCCTATTTTCTCACTCTTCTGAACAATTAAATTATTTTATTTAGTGCCCAGTGCCTAGAGAATATTCCTTAAATTTGAATTGAAAAACAAGAATACATAATTAGCTTATAGAACTTATTTACCCAAAGAGGTTAAATAAATTTAGACTAGAAATAATTTTTAAAATATTTAGATGAAGTCATTGATAAAAGATTCATAAGCATTATTAAGATAATTTTGGATTCTTTGATCTATGTTGCCAACAGTACTCCTTGATAGCCTGGATTTTACCAGAAAAAGTAGACTACTAGGTTGAGTCTAATTTGACATGGTGTTTTTAACACTTTTTTTCATTTTCCGGGGTAGTTTGTTCACCATCCAGAATTTTCTGGTGTTCACTTTTCCCTTAAGCTTTATTGATAATTAATTGATTGAATTAGATTGAGATAGCTTTTATTATTCATGTATTTATTTATGTTCAGAAGATATAATAGTTTTAGCCACACTATCAATATTGTTTATATGCTTTATGCTTCCTTCAGTGGTCACATGTGAAGTGTTGAAGAGCAGTCTTTAGAGTATTAGGTTTTCAGTATTTCTTTATTCTTTTCTTTTAAAAAATTCTAATACTGCACATATGCATTTGAACTTTTGTTGGTTTTTTACAGTAATTGCATTGTAATTGAATTGTTATTCATCATGTTAATTGCTTGGGAATTTTAGTGTCCCTGTCATTGATGCTTTCACATTCTTAAATCCGCCAAGTTATTTGAGGAGGAGCTATTAGAATAGAGATAGTTCAAATATGATATGTTTTCATGTAGTATGTACTAGTCAAGATACTTAAGTTCAACATATTTAGAATTCAGAACCTGATAAAAACTCAAGAGAGTTGACTAGGAATAGGAGATCTTTTAAAATTTGTCCTTTGAAATAGTTTTCTCATGGTGGAGTATAGTTTTCCATAGCTACTTTTAAATCAGTTAGTTTTATAGTTCCCCTATGTAAATAACGCTTAATCACGAAAGTAAGTCTTAAAGGTTTTATAAAAGAATCTTAGCACTAGAAAGAACTTTTATTAATATTATTTCTTATCTTGGTCAAGTAAATGTGAAAAACACTGAGTTTAAAAAAATATGGGAAAAAATGACTACATGTAGGACTGCTCATATACTAAAACGCATTGTGAATCATGTCTTTGGGAGAACATTGTCTAAGTAATTTGACAGTGGAAATCCCTTTCCCTGTAACATTCTGAAAGTTTCCTGGTAACAAATTTGGGAAACTGGGTTGTAAACCCCTATTTACAGAAGAAAAATCCATAGCCCAGAGAAGTATGTGGCTGGCATACATTACACTGCTTGTCTTTCAGTTTATTTCTGAACCATTTCATGGGGCATTCCCTGACAGTCCAGTGGTCAGGACTTTGTGCTGTCACTGCCAAGGTCCTGGTTCAATCCCAGCCCAAAAAAACAAACCAAAACCAAGCAGATGTTACCAATACTTTGTAACAGATCTATACTTACAGCGCTCAGAAGATTGGGAATTAGCTGCATTACTTTTTTTTTTTTTAAGTCAAGTATATTACGGTGTATGTATGATTCACATAAAAAAGTTCTCCCCTTTTTTTCTTTTGGTCCCTGCCATGAGGCTTGTGGGATCTTAGTTCCACAACCAGGGGTTGAACCTGGCTGGCCATGAAAGCTGAATCCTAACCACTGGACCACCAGGGAATTCCCAAGTTCTGCCCTTTTAAGTGTGCAGTTCAATGAGGTTTGACAAATGTATACATTTCTATAACCACCAGTAGCACAATACAAATATGGAACATTTGTATCACCCCTTAAATGTCTTTCATGCCTCCTTAGAGTCAGTCCCCTATTCCTCAATCCCTAGAAACCACTAATCTCTATCACTGTACTTTTGCCTTATTTAGAATCTCATCTTAATGCAATTATACAGTATGTAGCCTTTTGTGCTTGTTTGATTTCGCTTAGACCAAATTCTTCTGATTCATGCATATCATTTGACCAAGTTGTATTCTGTTGTATGGATATACTACAGTCTGTTTGTTCATTCATCAGTTGATGGACATTTGGGTTCCATATTTTGGCTATTATAAATAAAGGCCTATAAATGTACACATTGTTGCATGAACATCTATTTTCATTTCTCTGGGTAAATAGCTAGGTAGTGGATTATTGGATCATATGGTAAGTGCAGGTTTAACTTTAAGACACTGTCAAATTATTTCAAAAGTAGCTATCTCATTTTGTATTCTACTAGCAAGGTATAATTTTAGAATTAGAGTATCAATTTCTATTTAAAAAAGTGATATAGATTTTGTTTGGGGTTACTTTGCAGCTATAGATTAATTTTTGGAAAATTAATATCTTAGCAACATTGAGCCTTCAATTCCAGGAACATAGTATAATTCTCCATTTATTTAGATCTTTTAAAATTTTTCACAGCAATGTTTTATGAAATTTTTCCCTAAGAATTTCCTGGGTTTCTGATGATATTTTAAATTATTTATTTTAAAATTTCAGTTTTCAGTAAATAGAATATATATATATATATATATATATATATATATATCACTAAATCCACAATTCCACTAACTACATCAAATAGTCTCTAGTTTTTTGAGATTCTTTGGGGTTCTCTACATGAATGATCATGTTGTCTGCAAATTAAAACAGGTTTACTTTATCCTTTCTAATCTTGTTTGCCTTATGGTGTTGTTGTTTTTTTTTTTTTTTTTTTTTTTTTGCATTGAACTGCTAGTACCTCAAGTACACTGGTGAGTTGAAGTGATGAAACTGGATGTCCTTGCCTTGTTGCCATTCTTATAGGGAAAGCGGGCAATCTCACCGTTACGTATGATTATAGATGCTCTTTATCAGGTTGAGAATGTTCCCTTCTAATCCTACTTTCTTTAGAATTTTTATTGTAAGTAGATATGTCCCACGTTTGCAATTTTATTCAGTAATGTTAGAATTTTACTAGTCATTTCTTGGCACTCATTTTAACTGCTATTTTATGTAGAATAGTGCTATGTAATAGAACTTTCAGTGATAATGGAGATGTACTATCTTGTGATATCTAAAACAGTAGCCACTAGTCACATGGGGCTATTGTATCTGAGGTCTAAGTTTTTGTTTTTAATTTTAGTTATTTTTTTGGCGAGCTTTTCTCTAGTTGGAATGTGCAGGCCTCTCATTGCAGTGGCTTCTCTTGTTGCAGAGCACTGGCTCTAGAGCACAAAGCTCAGTAGTTATAGCACATGGGCTTAGTTGCTCCACAGCATGTGGGATCTTCCTGGACCAGGTATAGAACCAGTGTCTCCTGCATTAGAAGGAGAATTTTTTTTTTTACCACTGTGCCACCAGGGAAGCCCCTAAGTTTTTAATTTTATGAAATTTTAAGTAATTTCACATTCTGTAAGCACATATAGCTAATGGACAGTGCATATCTAGACCTATGTGGGAATCAGTAAGCAGCCCTCTGGATAGGTGCATAATCTGTTAATAATCTGTTGACTAATATTCACTCTACATACTTAACCTGGAGTGTTTCCAATTTTTATACTCAGAAGCTGACTTTAACTTTTCCTATTATCAGTTTAGTAATTCACTTTAAAAATCACATTGTGCCACTTTTTTTTCCACTCAGAGTTTTACAGTTGTCTTTGGCCAAATCCAAGAAATTTTTACCTTATCTGGACTCTACTATATTGGATTGTGTATTCAGATGTTTCCATCTTCTGTGCACTTAATCAGCAATATTATTTAGTAATTTAATGAAATGGACGGGGGGGAGCATGGAATGAAATTTGGGAGTTACTTCCCACATACTCTTCAGGCTAACAACTGTAGTACTTTAAATGTATATGACTTAAGTGTACCAGGAGTAAATTTCCAAATTACTTTAGGGCAGGGACAGTGCCTATATTTACATTATTATAGGTTTAAGCTCCAGTCATTCTACCTCATTAGCTGTATGCTTGACTAATCAAGTTGATTTTGCTTTGTGTCAAATCAGAGGAAGAAACTTGAACTGAATTAAAAATAGTATTTTTTCATATTAAGTCTCTGTCTTAATCTTTTTTAACCTTTTTTTAAAAATTGAAGTATAGTTAATGTATAATGTTGTGTTTCAGGTATATA